CGACGGATACCTATGTACATCGTGAAGTTATCATAAGGAAAAAAGAGAATTTGATAATTTCCAATCATCGAGTTATTTACATTACCAAAAATGACTTGTTTGGGCACTGGGTGGTAAGCACAATATCTGATATGGTGTAATATTTACACTAATTAAACTTTATAATTTTTCTTATTCAGGTTAACTGGCAGCATTTATGGCCCGAAATTGAAAAAATCACAGCCTCAGATCGAGGGGTAGAATTAGTAATGAAGAGAGATAACAAAAAAGTAATGGGCATCTTTGGGAGGAGTGATAAACAAAACAGACTTCTTATAAAGATCCCACCAAATCGACGAGAGAAATTGGTTGAAATTATGGAATCTCAGCGCTTAGAAGATATTTAGTTCTTTGAAATGTTATCGACATCCAGAGGAATAAGCGCACATTATGCAAACAGGATCATCGTTTTTACGAACTGAATTTGTATCAAATGCATCGATATTGTTTATCATAATCACTAGTTTAACATTTTAGGTTAGAAACAAATTAAATAAAGTAATTAATGAAATGGAATCAGTAACAGAAACGAAATGCAAATAATTCTGTATTGTTTATTTTATATAATATTTTAATAATATATATATATTAAAGTTTTTAATTAAAAGTTTTGCAAATTTTTTTTTTCACATATTTATTTATATTATTTCTTTTACTACGTCGATATTTTTATAAAAGGCAATAAATCTGAACTAAAATAATCTCCTTTATAATAAAAAAATCACTTAAATATTGTTGATTGGAGAATTTATGAATATTAAAAGATTTGTAACCAATATATAAAATAAATATATACAATAAAATTAGTACAATAAAGCATGCAACAAAATATAAATTTATGTCTTTTTACATAATCTACAAATAAATTGACAGTTTTTTAAATAAAAATAAAGTACTAATTTTTTATATATGTATATGTAACACTATATTTATATATTGTTTAATTTGACTACAATAAATGTAGCCGAACAGGCACAGCAGTGGCCGCAGCAAGTCGCAGCAGCATCTTCGTTCGCTTGATTTAACTAACATGGAATGAACTTCGAACCTTAGGATAAAAATACTTTTAGTGGCGAAGAAGTGTTGATGCTCTGTGCTCTAAAAACAAGTAATCAGAATGGATGCATATTTCTTTTCAAGTTTTAATTTCGTCTTTAAGATTAAAAGGTTAAGGTTATCTCTTTACAACGATTTTAGTACATCATTGTAAAGAGATATTTTATATTACATTATCAAAATGTATAGAAAATATTAGTTAAAAATAAGGCTTAAGAGCTTATCTACCTACAATAATGTCAATATAATTTGTGATTCTAGAAATTAACATAAATGAGACACTTATTCAGATTTCATTCAAACTTTAATTTTAATGTATTGTTTGGATTTTGTTATTGAGTTTGAAAGAAAGAAAATAAAATTTCAAACAAAACGACGTTCAGCGTTTGTTAAACAATTTACATTGTAAAATGGTAAACCTTAAACTAAACTGATACCTTATATGACAGTTTGTTTTATATGCGAGTTTAAGTTTTTATAAATTCGCTTTAATCATAATATGAAAAAAATCTTACCTAGACAGCATAATAAATAAAAATGTGATTTATATATATTTTAATTTTTTATTCTTATTAAATATTGTATTTAAACTTTCTTCATAAAACTATTTGGTGGTGATGACACAGCCATAATTGGCTCATAATTATTGCAATCACTATCGCAAAAGGCACTTAAAGAAGAAACCGCATTGTTAGCCAATGTTTCGACACTAAACATAGCAAGATGACCACTGGCCTCAAACTGATTTATTATCATATTGACTTTACTTTTGTTGTTACTACTACTGCTACTGCTACTGCATTTGAGTATCGGAGTATCACTAGAACCATCATAATTATCACACACCTCGACACTATTTAATAAATTCTCCTTCTCGCTTTGTTTGGTCTTCGGCGGTGAAGAAATCGTCATGGAGCGTGTGGAAGAAGTCGTTTTATTTAAACGATTCAGAAACCAATTTTTAGCAGATTTCTCATTGCTTTCATTCTTTTT